TTGTATTTAGCCATAGTGTTTTAGCAATTATCCATGTAGTTCATCCAGATTCCCGATTGTTAATGCTGACTCGATCGCCGAATGACAATAGCTACGCCATGTTTGTTTATAAACAGTGAAAGTAGTCCCTACTTGACCTTTGATATTTGCATCTCTATCCGCATATGACCCCAACGGATATCGTTTTTATCCGTTGGCTTTATCCTGCCGAGAAACCCTCCCATTATATATGCTAAAGACAATTAATCGATTGATGTAAATGTGCAAAAATCTTTTAGATACAATAACAAGTGAACAGATTGTAAAATAGCATGGCAAGTGAACCGAATGTATAATAGCATGATATGGTATGGTAGATGTGTTAGCAATTCCATTTTCACTAATTCAAAGTCATACCCTTTCATGACTCAGATTAGGTTGAAGTGATCTAAATTCACATAAAACTGATTCATTTCAAATGGCCCATCCCGCACTTGTGGCGCTTTTTATGAAAAGAGTATTCATTACCTTTTTGTGTGTCCAAATTAAGCAATTATAAGAAATAATATGTATTATACACATAGATATGATATAAAAACAGCTTTATATAGTAATGTTGAAAATTATGTACAGGAAAACATATATATAATTCAATCAATACGTGCATTTATCTCCGAACCATGTAGATTAAATTAATCAATATGGTCTTATACTTCAATTATCTACTGATGATTACTTATTGCTTAACTGATAGTATTGAATGAGTATGTTTTAGTAATTAATACTTTTTTGTATTTGAGCAGCATTAAGATAAGCCATTGGCTTGTTTGCAAATCCATTTCATTATGAAATGAATATGTTTAAAACACATGTAGTAGTACATATTATTACGAAGATTGCCATAGTTACGACATGAAAAGAAGTAAATTGTTTCTATATAAAAGGTTATTAAAACCGTATTGTTTGGAAATATAACTCTGTCATCTGATACAAATATTAGACTAATAGAATCATGCATATGTTTTCAAAACAAAGCGCTTTGAAAGCCTTTAAAGTATGTTTTTCTCCATTTATATATATTTGATGTTTAACCTTTTGTCATCCACTGTGTGTTGTGATATATTATATAAATATGTTTGTATCGGTGAGGTCTTTAAATAGACATTGCACCTGTTGACCATCCAATTTGAAGAGAACAAAATATTGTTTAAAGCACTAAAGAAGTAATGTGTAGGACCAGGAAGTAGAATCATGTTGCTGTTTGTTGTTTAACGCCGCAATCGGCAATATTCCAGCCATAAGACGGCGGTCTGTAAATAATCGTGTCTGGACCAGAGAATCCAGTGATTGACATTATGAGCATCGATCTACGCAACTGTAGTAGAATCTTGAATATTCGCCTAATGAAAGAGTAAGTTTATACTGCGAAATGTTCTGATCCTCATAATAAAGAGACATCAATACATTCTCTTCCTTATGTGCATCGCTTCTAAATGCCGTTCATAGTCTTCAGGAGTATGTCTGTGATATATGTGTGCATTTAAATCACTGCATCCTAACCCGAGGCGGGAATGGATAATTTGAAACGGGTACCATAGTCAAATTTCAAGATTGTCAGCACAACCACATACATTCTTTGATTTGTAGTAGTTAACTGTTCTAGCATTTTCAGTCTGTAGCTATAACGAAGTTTTTAAATTGTAACGAGCGCCCTCTCAGACATTAGGAGGAACAGGCTTCCAATGTCAGATTATCTCTGATTGTTTTTTAGTTCCGGAGGGGGCGCGGGTGGCCCAGTCGTCTAAGGCGCCGCAATTCGCTGTGCAGAGTTGCGTCCCTTGGGCACGCCAGAAACCTATGATTGTGGGTTCGAATCCCGGTTCGCCCCAATTATGTTTCTAGGTTTGTCAGCACCATACCCATGCTCGTGGGTTTCACCGAAGTGGTAAACGTCTGAGACCTGCAACTCTTCGGGCTTTCCTCCCACATTAAGCTGACACGCCGCGATATAACTGGAATACTGTTAAAAGCGCGTTAAACCCGACCCACTCACATTTGAGTTCCGGTGTTGCTCACTGGTGAAGCTGACATTAGGTGACAACTGAAACTGTTGAAAGGTGTGTGCAGCCACTTGAAGGTGTAAAAAGGTTTGGGAAGAAGGGGGTAGAAAAATGTATACTAATGTCTGTAATTTACACCCTCAGTCGCGCAAGATCAACATCGTACTTTAGTGGAAAGCGTGAGTCGTAGCCATGTATTGGCGACCAGGGGATGTTCTATAGTAAAAACGGAACAGTACGTAACTTTTGGTTGGTTGGTTGGTTTGTTGTTTAACGCCGCATTCCAGCTGTATGACGGCGGTCTGTAAATAATCGAGTCTGGACCACACAATCCAGTGATTAATATCATGAGCATCGATCCACGCAATTGGGATCGATGACATGCATCAACCAATTCAGCGAGCCTTACCACCCGATCCCGTTAGTCGCCTTTTTACGACAAGCATGGTCGCCTTTTACGGCAAGTATGGGTTGCTGAAGACCTATTCTACCCCGGAATCTTCACGGGTCTCAGTACGTAACTACGTTTTCGCATCTAGTCTCTTGTTTGTTGTTGAACACCGCACTCAGCAATATTCCAGCTGAATGAGAGAGGCCTGTAAAGAATCGAGTCTGGACCAGACGATCCAGACCAAGGGATACGATGACATCATCCAAGGCACCCATCCTGACAACCCGATCCGTTTGTTCATGGTGGGGGTTTGGAGGTAGGGTTGTTTGTATCCATATGCGGGCTGGTAGTTTTATCAATCACACATGACCCTTAAACATTTCATATACAAAAATCAACCAGCATCACAACCAGAACGACAAACTGTACTGCCGTTTTGTTTCCAGCACCATGCTAAATCGCCATGACACACGGTCGATAAAAATAGGCAATACTGCAATACTTGAACAAAAAACTTCCGTTGCGGACTAAACGTCAGTAGTCTTACGCCAATAACTGTATAGTGGGGAAAAGTAAATCTCTCTGACCACTCTGACCTGATTTCTTTCTTTTTTAAATTGGCTGTCTGATTCTAAACTAGTTACGTGTAGGTGACATGGCATCCTCCCGAGGCAAGGGAGTTAACTGACTTTTAAAGTCCAGAGGAAACTGGAGTTTTAACAGTTAAGTCCCTTGCCTCGGGAAGATGGCTATATGGGTGCGTAATCAAAATTTGCCTTAATTCGCTTGATGTTGAAACATGGCACAAAAATTCCGAAAAACTCCTCAACCACTTTACTAACCTCACCATATTTCGCAACCCGTCAAACTGCATTAAATATGAGGTTATACGATGCTGAGATGATTGGGGTGATGGAGGTTATAATTTTGATTTTGTGCACTCAGTGTTTGACGTCATAATTTACAGTTGAAAAGGGACATTTATAGGTTTTTTAATTAACTAATGTACTGGAAATAATGACCCTCCTCTAATGCTTTTATTTTTTTGGATGACCCTCCCCATGTCCTTGCATGTACTTTGTTTTAAAAAACTCCCAGAAAAGACAAAATGTACAAGCACTTAATATTATAAAATGTCCATTTCACATGACACTCCCCAAATATGTGCATTGTTTTTTTATTACCCTCCGCGGATTCCCTCTGATGGATAGACACGCGATAATATTGGTAGAGAGGCGATGAGATTGATAGATAGGCGGTATGATTGGTTGACAGTCGGTATGATTGATAGACAGGCGGTATGATTGGTTGACAGTCGGTGAGATTGCTAGACAGGTGGTGAGATTGGTAGACAGGCGGTGAGATTGGTAGACAGGCGGTGAGATTGGTAGACAGGCGGTATGATTGGTAGACAGGCGGTGAGATTAGTAGACAGGAGGTATGATTGGTAGACAGGCGGTGTGATTGGTAGACAGGCGGTATGATTGGTAGACAGGCGGTGTGATTGGTAGACAGACAGTGAGATTGCTAGACAGGCGGTATGATTGGTAGACAGGAGGTATGATTGGTAGACAGGCGGTGTGATTGGTAGACAGACAGTGAGATTGCTAGACAGGCGGTATGATTGGTAGACAGGAGGTATGATTGGTAGACAGGCGGTATGATTGCTAGACAGGCGGCGAGATTGATAGACAGGAGGTATGATTGGTAGACAGGCGGTGAGACTGATAGACAGGAGGTATGATTGGTAGACAGTAGGTATGATTTGTTGACAGCCGGTATGATTGGTTGACAGTCGGTATGATTGGCTAACAGTCGGTATGATTGATAGACAGCCGGTATGATTGATTGACAGTCGGTATGATTGGTAGACAGTCAGTTTGATTGATAGACAGTCGGTATGCTTGGTAGACAGGCGGTATGATTGGTATTCAGGCGGTATGATTTGTAGACAGGCGGTGTGATTGGTAGACAGGCGGTATGATTGGTAGACAGGCGGTGTGATTGGTAGACAGGTGGTATGATTGATAGACACGCGGAAGGATTGATATATAGGTGGTATGATTGGTAGACACATGACATGATTTGTTGAGATTCAGTATGATTTGTACGCATGCAGCGTATTGGTGGACACGGGGTTGATCGTGGCGCTTACAACAGTCGCATTAAGGACTATGTTAAAGTATGGGAGTTACGAAGTTGTAAGTCTATGTTAAAGTATGGGAGTTACGAAGTTGTAAGTCCATGTTAAAGTATAGTGGTCACCACTGTCGTAAGTCCATGTTTAAGAATGGGAGCTAGGACGTCGTAAGTTCATGTTAAAGTATAGTGGTCACCACTGTCGTAAGTCCATGTTAAAGTACACTTTCAAAAAAAGAAACGCATAGTTAAAAATTAAGGATATTTATTAAGCGGATGTAAAGGTATCTTCATATGTACACAGAATATGTGTGAACACAATCAAATGAAATTAGACACAGAGGTGGACAAAAGCATGGTCGTCATTGTCAGCATTAATTCAGTTCAGTCATTCCACATGTGTAGCCACAAGGGGGCGTCATGGTCAGTACCTGGTCACACCACCTCTTGCAGCCGGCACTGCTCGACACCTTGGCACAGATTGCACAAGTCGTCGGATTTTTTCGTGGGGAATACATCGCCATTCCTCCTGTAAGGCGTTGGCGAGTTGTGCTAGTGTGTGGGGACGCTCGTGACGTTGACGGACGCGTCGATCAAGTTCGTCTCACAAATGTTCAATCGGGTTGAGATCAGGCGATTTGGACGGCCATGGAAGAACATTGATGTTCTCATTAACAAGGAAATTAACTGTTGCACGTGCTGTGTTGGGCCGAGCGTTGTCATGTTGGAACAGCTCCCTCTGGCGGTCCAAAGGATATGTGTAGGATATGGCTTCCCACACCATGACACTCCCTCCACCAAATCGGTCCACCTGTCGAACGCAATTCGGCGCAAAACGTTCATGTCGACGTCGGTATACACGTTGTCTTCCATCCTGTCGTTAAAGAAGACAACGTGACTCATCGCTGAGCCAGACGCGTCGCCAGCTCCTGAGATCCCATGCCTGTACTCTGTTGCACCACCGGACACGTCGTTGACGGTGTAGACGTCGCAAGACAGATCCAACTTTTGTTCGTCTCGCTCGAATTCCCACTTCCCACAGACGATTTCTGATGGTTTGGTCGGAAATTCTTCGCATACCAGGCACTTGTCCTGCAGTGTCCGTTGCTGTGGCAAATCGATTCCGAAGGTGATGCAACCGGATGTACCGATCCTGAGCAGGGGTGGTCACTCTTGGTCTTCCACTTCTGGGATGATCTTGAGTCGAATTAGTGCGGGTATATCGATCCCATAGTCGAGATATGGTGCTTTGGTGAACGTTGAAGTGTCTTGCAACGGCAGACTGGGACTCCCCTGCTTCCAAACGTCCAATGGCGATATTTCGGTCAGCTGAAGTTAATCTTGGCATTTTTCGATCTCCGTTCACGTCAGCAAATTAATTTGCAAATTAACACGATTTTTCTTACAACTATGTGATAAAACATGTGTAAAGAAGATATTGAATCGCTGAAAAGTGAAACGAAAATGTCAAAAACTAAAATAAAAATGTCAAAAACAAAAGCGAAAATGTCAAAAACTAAAATGAAAATACAGAAAGCTATTTCCACCGCGGTGATAATATTTACACCGCGGTGGAAATAGTTTTCTGTGTTTTCATTTTAGTTTTTGACACTTTCGTTTTGGTTTTTGACATTTCCATTTTAGTTTTTGACATTTTCGCTTCACATTTCAGCAACTCAATAGCTACTTGAAAGTACATTTTCCATGTTTTTGGTTGTTTTTATACATGATTTATCACATATTTGTATGACAATTCGTGTTAATTTGCGAAAGGTTACGATAAAAGTAAGTGAAACATCAACATATTGAAAAACAGACTCCATGTTCCTTATAGGCCACCGTATCTACTCTTGTTTCCAACACTTTGCACGTGCATTGTGCTGAAAACTTTGAAAGCGATTTCCGTGCATCCTTTGCATTTTTGCTGATAAACGTTTACAAAAAAAACATTTAAGATGTGTTGCGCGCAATGCACAACAAACATGACATGATTAACGGGATTAAAACATAAGAATTGTCTTTATGACGATTGCTGGGAAAATTGAAATTCTCAAAACACCTACGCGTTTCTTTTTTCGAAGAGTGTATTTAAGCTACGAAGGCGAAAGCTATGTAATTAAAGCATTTACGTCCATGTCGTAATTTTCGTCCATGTGAAAGTATGGCGGTTACAAAGTCGTAGCGCTACGATAGTTTAACTTGCCTAACCGAATGTGCGGGTTATGAAAAGAGGCCCAACAGCTAAATGTATGAATGCTGAAGTGGATCAACTTATTTCAATTGCATCAATAACATGGTTATTTGTAGAAGCCACATTTCGAATTCATTATATATATAGTAAGTGTAACATTATATATATATATATATATATATATATATATGTGTGTGTGTGTGTGTGTGTGTGTGTGTGTGTGTGTGTGTGTGTGTGTGTGTGTGTAAGAAGTGTTACATCCTACTGCTACAAGTGTAGACACAAATATAACCAACTAAATTGCTCAATTTCTTTGTAGTATGCCTGTTCGTTATTCGTCATCTTAGTCATGAAATTTAATCGCGCTCAAAACCCATCGACGCAGTTTATCAATTCAATAAGCACGACCTCGTTAACCTATGTACGGGTTGTCTCCCTTAGATGTACCGGCGACTAAAAATAGTTTTTCTAAATATAGACAACCGGAGCTTTGGTATATAAATTGTGTTGTGGGCGACTTGGCAACATTAACGAAGGTGGTGTCACGTTGGCCGACCAGGATTACATTGAACTGCGCGGTAAAGGTAAGAGGTATTATGGAACTAATAAGATGTCATAGATATGACGTATGTGCTTAATCCACCCAAACCTAAACTCAACGGCGTTTGTTAAACAGTTTAAAATCTAACATAGCAGATGATAGCGACAGCTGAACAGGTAGAAACTAAAGGGCTGGAACGTGTCCAAATTTACTACCCGGGTACCCACCACCCTATTACCCGACCCTACCCGGGTACTCACTGTAGATATTTAGAAATAAGTACAAACTGTCCGATTTGGAAAAGTTTTACCTTAGCCCTGTCAAAATGTTTTCAGATACACGTGTAAGACGATCTGCTCATGCATAAACTGAAGTTTAATGTATGTATTTTTATCTTTATTCAAACATATAAAAGTCAGAAGGAAAGGGTGCATTGTCAGAAAGAAATGGGATATTTATTAGTGACTTATAGTGGAGTTTTAGATATTTTTTGTCATCAAACAATATATATCACTTGACAAACCACGGGTCCGAGTAGTCCTGTGGTTACCCGGGTCCTACTCAGGACCCACCCGACCCGGGTACCCGAGTTACCCGTCCCAGCCCTAGTAGAAACGTCCAATAGTTCAACAAATATTACATTTTGAAAGTTGTATGTTTTTTCTCACGCCTATTTCAAAGTGATGAAAAAAGCTAAGGAAACAAATGTTTACAGTATTTAATAAATTATTTCTTTTTCTTTAAAGACGTATGAAAGGGTTTTGAATATTGCTAGATAGTTCTATTCAGTGTATTCATGTCGCACCCCCTTATGCATATTGAGTACAAAACGACATTGATTTGTAGCTGCGGTAGGTCATGTGATTCGAGTTGGTATTCATTGGAAGACGGGCTGACATTTTACCCCCTCAAATACGAGTCTAGCCTTTCTTGTGTAAACTGGACTTTTATAGTCAATTAATTCCCTTGCCTTGGGAAGATATGGTTCTAGCTTTGCTATCTGTTAAGAACACGCAAGGCAGACTAGCGTGTGCATATCGACGACTTCAATTTGCATATGTACGTTAGCGTAGTACTGCAGTTGAAAGGATTGGGTCATTTGACTCAGCGAGTGAGTGATTTAACGTCAACTCAACAATACATCAATCATTATTTACAAAGACCAGAATTCCTTTACCGGCTTCCTATGTTTCTTTTATAACAGTGTGAATCAAATGACATTAAATATATAATTATAATGAAAACTATAATTATTATTTTTATAATAATTCTACAACTACTAATATTGTTATTAGAATAAACAACAACAGTAAATATATATGGGTAAGAAAAACAAACTACAATCAAACTTATTCCTACGACACTATATGTACACACACACACACACACACACACACACACACACACACACAGAGAGAGAGAGTAAACTACGTTTATAACGAACACGCTTATAACGAACTGACGGATGTGACGAACTTATTTTTTGGCCCGGCCTCTGGTGTATATATGCTATACATATGCTTATAACGAACTACGGTTATAACGAACTAAAATTAGTCACGCTCACATAGGTAATAATACGATTGATGTAATGTAATGATACTATTGATGTAATATAATCTTATAAACGAGGCAGATTAGCTCCATATATAATAATACCTTTCGTTAATCCTAATATATCTATTTCGTGTAGTACGATAATACTGGTGAGATGTCACGAATCTTTAAAACGATTGCCTGACACGGTAGACTATTGTGAAATTCTAATTGTATGAACTCAGTTTTAGAGATTTGGACGCTCAGCCTCCGAATACGCCCTAAACAGTATTTGTAGTGTGCAAATGAGTGTTGTTAAAAAGCCACAGTCTGAAGAATTCTAGCTGGGCAAAAGAAAGTATACACTTGGAAATTGTTGCGTAGATCGATGCTCATGATATCAATCATTGGACGGTCTGGTCCAGACTCGATTATTTTACAGACCGCCGTCATATAGCTGGAATATTGCTGAGTGTGGCGTTAAACAACCAACAAACAAAAATATATAGACTCTTTGGTACGACTGACGATAGAACAAACCAACCAACTTGGAAATTGGGTTTGATCAAAACATTACAGACGTTATCAAAACGTCACTATAGTCATCATCATCATCATTATTGAGTTTTTATAACATGGTTACAATTCGGGCTGCTGAATAGAGTCGCTCGAAGTCACCAAACTGCCAAAGTCAATCGAATTGTAACCACGTGATCAAAACTGGTGATGATGTTTATCGCTAAGAAAATATTCGTTTCTTGAAAAGAGCACTTTGCAACATTTATCATTACTGTAAGTAATATTCTTTATCGACGGAAAGACTTGTTTTCACTCTATAAGTACATGAGCACGCATGCAGCTATCTACGTTAGATAATCATCGCGATATTTCGTGATTCTATTTTAAGTACCGAGGACCACAAGCTGAAAACATTCGTCGAAACTTTGCAAACTTGAGGTAAAAGCACAACTAAGATACCCGTATCAAATACATTGCCATGGAATATCTATTTCTTATTTTGGTTTCATTTTTAGCAACCATCAAACATAGGTTTATACCTTCTTTTGCCCGTCAGTGTATATGTATAAGGCCTTTGATTTTGTCTCGAGATTCGATATGTTTTCAGTTATAGCTGCAGAACTTGATACTTTTAAAATAAAACTTTGAGTCTTGGCAGACAAGATATTTGTTTCGACAGTCTGAAGCATAATGCTCTTTTTTCATTTGTTTTCGCAATGATGAGTCACATCCTCGGT